TGCCGCCAGGGTCAGCTGGCCCCAACCCCTGGTCAAACTCCCAGTCAAGGGGACAGTTTACATATTAGGCTTTTATTAAATAGGATTATTATTATTATTATTGATTTTAGAGGGAGGAAGGAAGAGAGAGAGACATCAATGTGAAAGAAAAACATCAATTGCCTCACGTTTGCCCTAACCAGGGGTTGAACCTGAAACCTGAGTATGTGCCCTGACTGGGAATCGAACTTAACCACCTTTTGGTGCATGGGACGTTGTTCCAACCAACTGAGCAACACTGGCCACTGTGATTTTGGCTATTCTAATAAGTGTGTATTGGTATCTCATTGTTTCATTGCTGTTTCTATTTGCAACTTCCTAATGATATGTTAACCATCTTTCATTTGTATATTTTTTTTCATCTGTATGTTTTATTTTTCATCTGTTTATCTTTGGTGAGGTGTCTGTTCAGATCATTTGCCCATTTTTAAATTGGGCTGTTTGTTTTCTTATTGTTGAGTTTTAAGAGTTTTTTGTATATTTTGGATGACAGTTCTTTATCAAATATGCCCCCCTCCCCACCCCATAGTATGTCTTTTGCAAATTTCTTCTCCCAGTCTATGGCTTGCTTGTCTTCTCATTCTCTTGACAGTATCCATTACAGAGAGATGTTTTTAATTTTAATGAATTAAAGCTTATCAATTATTTCTTTCATGGATTGTGCCTTCCTTAGGTGTTGCATCTGAAAAGTAATCGCCAAATCCAAGTTTATCTAGAATTTGTGTGTTATTTTCTATGAGTTTTATGGTTTTGTGTTTCGTATATATATATCTTTCTAGTTGAATTGCTGAGTAAAAATAAAATTATATATTTAGCCCTTAAAAAAATTCTGTCCTGTTATTTACAAATGTGGTGATATGATAGCTTTAGGTTACACAGATAAGGCCAAGAATGAGTTTTGAGTTCACTTGGAGTTTTCACTGGTACCTTTTACTACGGTTGTTGGGACCTGAACTCAAGAGCTTTGTTATAGTCTCCTCGTGCTTGGGTCTGAATGAACAGTTACAGAAAAATACTTACCCATGCAGAGACTGTGACATGTTTAAGGATTTGATGGAATACTTTTTCCATAAAATGCTCTTATGTTTCCTGGTTGATAAGTTTATCTTGCCATTTTTTTTTTTATTTTTTTTTTGCATTTTTAAAAAAATATATTTTATTGATTTTTACAGAAAGGAAGGGAGAGGGATAGAGAGTTAGAAACATCGATGAGAGAGAAACATCGATCAGCTCCCTCCTGCACGCTCCCTACTGGGGATGTGCCCACAACCAAGGTCCATGCCCTTGACCGAAATCGAACCTGGGACCCTTGAGTCCGCAGGCTGACCCTCTATCCACTGAGCCAAACCAGTTAGGGCAATGTGTTGCATTTTTAACTGTTGGGGTCCAGCCCCAGCAGGTCCAGGGGTTCCCAAAGGTGTGGACCGAGTTGGCGAAGAAGGAATGACACGGAGACAGCGTTCAGTTGATCAGCAGCCTAGCCAGGTTCTCCTATCTTGCCATTTTTAATGAAATTTTCACTATCTGGAACCTGAACTCTTACTGTTGAGAAGTTTGCTGGATTGTGACCTTCTTTCCTTGACCTTTAAACCAGCACTTTGTAATTCTAAGGCTCCATTTTTGTAAGTAAGACTGAAAAATTGACTGTTCCACTTTTCACTTTTAATGCGATGCATATTACTGCTGACATTGTATATTGTTTGCTTTCTAAGGTCAATTCTAGATCTCTTACTGTCTTAAAATACTTTAAAGTGATAATAAGTCAAGGCTAGGTGTAGGAAATACAGTAAGTTGAAAGGTTTTGTGACTTTTAAGTGAAATGATGTATAATGACCAATTTTACTGTGGGCTAATTGATATAAACAAGAGCTAAGTTCTTAAGGCGTTATAATGAAACAGTGTTGAGGACCTGTGTTTAGTTTTATCTAAATAACCTTTCAGATCATGTCCAGGAATTCAAATTCAAGTTAGTTAATGCTATGCATGAGCATCTATCAAACTCAAGAATCTTGACAGGTGAACACGCCTAATAAAAAGCACAAAGAACATTAGTCCAGTTGTTAAAAAGAAAAAAAATTAAAATTTAAGCAATAGTCCTAATTTCTTCCAAAATCATGTTGCTTCATTTTTTGACCCCCCATTTCACATTTTAGGTGCTTAGTTCCTAGTTTTGTATAAACATCATCTGAAATAAGGAATAGAAGATTAGAAAGAAAAATGATTAAAAGTATGTGCTGCGGTTCTAGAGATACCTAATCATCTTTTTCATCTCTTAAAAGAAAAAAGCCTAATTTTGAAAGGAGATGTCATTTGTAAAATTGACTCTGTACTTTATAAGCAATGTTTAAATTCATTGGTGATAAATATTTATGTTGGTATAGTAAAGTCCCATTTTTTACATAATGCTTTAATGGAAATGGCAGTTTTATGAAATGAAAGTGACTAGTAAAAATCTGAGTGATGTTCATAAGCCTTTACATCATTTTTATTGAGGTTTTTGTGTATTCTAATTCATTAATATAGGGGAAAAGGAGAACACTAACATGGTTTATTTCCTATAATTACTCAAATTGAATAGAATTTATTTTCAATAAAATTCTTAAGAGTAAATTGCTAGGGGTGGGGTGAGAAGGGTTGACCTGTTTTTTGTAAAATGACTTGAGTTTTACTCATGAGGCTTTGCTATTTTACCAGTGATGATGTTCACTTGCATATATTTTCAGTATATTTCCCTCCAGATTTTTACAAATTATTACCTATGTAAACCCAAGAAATCCCTAATAGGATTGAGTGTTGAAGAGAAATCTGGGATATTTATTTTATCCTGCTTATTACTACAAATATTGTCTTTTAATAATTTAGACTACTTATGTGATGCATATAGGTTGAAACACTATTGAGATTGCTGTGTAATAGATTAACTGAGGGGATTTCCAAAGCAGTTTAGTGTTTACAGTTACAATTGGTTTATTTTTTTGTGGAGTACCTTGGAAGAAAAGGTCAATGTAAGGGATAAACAAATACAGCAGGCCCTCAGTTAACATTGTTTTGTTCAAGGTAGTTTCGATATAATGTTGATGAGATGCCTCAGGAACTGAGCTCTTGTTTATATCAATTAGCCCGTGACAAAAATTGGTTTCATTATGTGTCATCTTGCTCAAAGTGGTAGGACCTGTCTCTGATGTAAAGTAAGGACTTAACTGTATTTTAAAAATTTAGGCTCCCCAACTTCATGAAGTAAGGTGGGGAGGAGACAATAGAAAACAAGTAAGTGTTCTTAATTTCATCACAGTATAATCTTGCTAGCATCCCTTTCTTTTGCTCTCAGTATACTTTGAGCCACCTTAGAAAGATCTGTTTCTTTTGTTCTATATTTGTAGGCAATTATGAATTCTTGGCATTTTATCTGAAGAGTCTTCCATGTTCTTGAGGCAGAATTTTGTTGAAACTCATAACTTTAAGCTTATGTCTGGAGAGCTTTAAGACATGGTAGTTTATAACTCACCTTCAAATGGTCAGTAAATACTTTTTTTATCCCCAGGCTTTACATTTGCAAGCATATCCCTTTTTAGGTGAGTCTTTGTGTAGACACACATTTTTGCCTGTTTTCCTCTCCTTTACCCCAGCATTGTGGGGCTACTTGAGCTGGAGCTATGCCTATGGAGTTCTTGTGATTGGTGATTCTTAAGTGAGGGCGAGGGAATGTAAAGTAAGTAGGGGGTGATAGTGCCTATATAGGTTTGTGTGTCATTTGGGCATGATTGCATGTATGTGTTTGCTTTCTTTGATCCCAGAAAACTAGAGTTGTGTTCAGCTATTCTTTTTTTTTTCACCATTGCTGAAGTGATCTCCACCCGAAGCAAGTAGAGGGGCCTTCACGGGAGCTCAGACTCTCTCCATCTTCATTATGAGTCAGACTGCAGGCTTTGGAGAGTGGTGAAGGGTAGAGTCACAGAGAGCCGCTGCCTCTATAATCCCCAAACACTGCCACAGCACCATAAGTCCTGTTTCTCCCTTAATGCCAAGAACTTAATACAAGGATGGAGTGCTATCAGCATCTGGCTTTCCTCATGGTAGTTGAGAATCCTCTTGGGCCACAGGGTACCTCCCCTCTTGTGTAAGCTTTTATTTTGCAATAAGGAGATGACTTAGAATGTAGAGAGAGGGTTGTTTGCGCTGGAGTCAGCAGGTCAGATGCACTATCAAGGACTCTGCCTTTCTGCATATCTGGCCACAGCTGCTTTTACCCAATGCCTCCCTCTCACGGCTTCCAGCCTGACTCTCAAAGGGAGGGCTGAAGGCAGCACCTATTAGAAAGGTAAACAAATGGACAACCTCTCTTTAGGCATTTCATTCTTGGAGGTATCATTGCACATGAAATGAGAATAGCGTTTAGTACAGATAACCCTAAAACAACAGATCCAGTAATAGAGTTGGTTCTTTTTTTTTTTTTTTAATCCTCACCAAAGGACATTTTCTCTGTTTTTAGAGAGAGGGGGATGGAGGGAGAGAGAATGAGAGAGATTGTTTGCCTCCCACACACACCCCAACCCCAATCGGGGCTGGGGATCGAACCTGCAACCCAGGTACTTGCCCTTGACGGGAGTGGAACCCAAAACCCTCTGGTGTGCAAGCTGATGCTCTAACCCAGCCGTGGGCAAACTACGGCCCACGGGCCGGATTCGGCCCGTTTGAAATGAATAAAACTAAAAAAAAAAAAAAGAGACCGTACCCTTTTATGTAATGACTAGAGGCCCGGTGCACGAAATTTGTGCACTGGGGATGGGTGGGGGGGTCCCTTAGCCCAGCATGTGCCCTCTTGCAGTCCGGGACCCCTCCCTTGTTACTGCCCACCTGCTTGCTGCTTCCTACTGCTTGGCTTGCTGCTCCTTAGTGCTGCCACGAAGGCCTTGGGTCTGCTGGGTTCCGGGCCTGCGGGTTTGTGTCCCTGATACCCCCAGCAGCCCCAGCACCACCTAAATAACTTAAGGGAAACTTTATTTAGTCTTCTTTTAAAAGCAATCTAGTTTAAAAATGAGTTGCAGTTAAGACAGAACAAAGAACATGGTACCTAAGAGTGAGATAGACTGACAGAGGAGAGGCTGGGCACTGGTCAGGGGCTTACATGCCAACTGTTCTCCACCTGGGAAATGATGTAAAATTGGTTTCTTTAGTTTTCTGCTTAATGGTCTTCTCCAGCACTGAGGTCAGAGGAGTCGCCTTCCAGCCTGTAGGCTGCTTCTCAGAGTCGAAAATTTCGCCATAGGCCTCTGCCTAGGACAGGACCTCTGCACCCCTAGGGTGCATAAACACACAGGGCTTCCATCAGGCTCCACTGATCCCAGGCCAGGAGGCCTCTCGGCTCCACTGATCCCTGGGCCCGGGAGGCCTTGTGGCTCCGCTGATCCCGGGGCCGGGAGGCCTTTCGGCTCCGCTGATCCCGGGGCCCTGAGGCCTCTCAGCTCCGCTGATCCCGGGGTTCAAACACACGTTTGAGTGCTCTTTCAGGAACACAAATCATCTAATAGAAGAACTTTGACCATTTTTTAGCACATTTTATTATTATTTGTATTTCACAATTATTGTTTAATATTTTAATTTTTTAAAATATGTTTTTATTGATTTTAGAGAGAGGGGGAGGGAGAGGGATAGAGAGATAGAAACATTGATGAGAGAAACAATTGATTTCTAACTCTCCCTTAATATATTTTACTAGGCAGCCGTGGGCAAACTACGGCCCGCGGGCCGGATCCGGCCTGTTTGAAATGAATAAAACTAAAAAAAAAAAGACCGTACCCTTTTATGTAATGATGTTTACTTTGAATTTATATTAGTTCACACAAACACTCCATCCATGCTTTTGTTCCAGCCCTCCGGTCCAGTTTAAGAACCCATTGTGGCCCTCGAGTCAAAAAGTTTGCCCACCCCTGCTCTAACCACTGACCCACGCTAGCCAGGGCAAGCTGGTTCTATTTTAATGACACTTGCATCCCTAAAAATCACCATACTCTGCAAATAGCACAGTAAAAACCACAGGACTTACAAGGGGGAAATGAAGTTAGGAGCATAATATTCAGAAACTTTGTTGTGTACACACACACACACACACACACGAAATTAATAAAAGCAGTAGCACAGTTTTGCACACATTAAATGGGTAGGAAATACAGAAATATTACAGTTAAGTATGGCACTTTACCTCAAAAGACCTGCTGTTTACCCATGGAAGTGGGCATCTGAGGAAGGAGGGTCACCTGCTATCGAGGGGACTATGGGAACACCAGGTGTGATGGGCGTGGTTCCTAACCCAGAAGGTGGACTGAGGCATCGGTAGGTGGTTAAGGTGTGTCGGAGGTGTGTATTTCTGTGCGACATGGTTCAGCAGGGTGCAATTTTCTGTGTTCACCTAGCGTTTCTTGCAGACAAAATCACGCGTAAGCAAATGTGGAATTCATTTTATGCTCAGATTGTCCCCCTAATATGCACATCAATCACATTGGAACAAATTCACAGTTTCAAAATAAGCTTTATAGTAGAACCAACTGTAGTTTATTTAATTTTGGAATTGAGTTTCTCTTCCTTTTTTCCTTTCTATCATTATTGATTTCTTAATTTATATTTAGGTTGAGCCCATACCAGATTGATTTTTCATACCCTGAGCACCTCTAGTGCAGAGAAAGCAGCCTGAGATTTTAATTTTGCTAGTGGTAATCTATGAGGTAGTTTCCCCTTTGGTGAAGGAATCTCTGTATATCTGTGTGTGTGTGTGTGTGCGCACACACACACACCTTTCCTAGATGCCCGGCACAGTGCCAGAGAGAGAAACCGGGAACAGTATTATCTTTATCTTCACAAGCTTATAGTCTCATTAAAAAGTTGTCAAGTCATAGATTCAAACGTCTGTGTTGGTTGGGTCTTCTTAGGGAACATATGACAAAGCATCATTATGTATTTGTTAGTTTGTGAAACCACACCCACACACACCTTCCACCCTATCTCCTACATCCTTGTAAAGAGCTTGCCTAGAGGAAACACAGATGTTATTGATTTACATGGTGAAAAGATATAAATTTGAAAAGGACCTAATAGGTCTCATAGTTCAAACTTCCCACCTAACTTCTTAAACCCAGTGGTCATGTGTCCATAGTAGATTAGTAAATGGAAAAAAAGCAAGTTTCAGAGCAGTGTGAATAGTATGATCCCATTTTTGTTAGTGTTCTCTCCCTGCATGCGTATGTATGTACTGTTTGTATGAGCATAGATGATGTGGAAAGATCTCCCATATTGTTACCTCAGGGTACAAGGGAAAGCTTATTAACTTCGTCTTTATACATCTTTTATTGTTTGACTTGTTTTAAGAAGAATGTTTTACTTTTTTAATTAAAAAATCTAATAAAGTAGAAAATGAATAAATAATAATAAAATATACCCTCAGGGCACTGAGCTTTCTTTCAATCTTCCCAGAAGCCTGGGTAGTTAAAACTGAATGTGACGTTTCAGGTGTGGGCTGCTCAGCAGGACTATGAACCTGCTGTAGCCCAGATATCATGGACTCTAGGGCAGTACCACTGTTTTGTTTATAGACAATTAACACCTCAAAGCCTTTCTTACATTTGCCACTCTGCACACTCTGCCATTGACCATCACTGTGCACAGGTCTGGCCCTTTACACTCTCCCTTTTAGCTTTTCTCTTGTTATTGTGGAAATCAGTATTCAACATAGGTTAAGAGCAGGCCTTGGTTGGAATCAGGCTGCCTGGTTGTAGAGCCTAACTACCAATAACTAGTATTACAACGTAGACAAGTAATGTGTCTTCCCAAGCCTCAGTTTTCTCATCTGTAAAACAGCAATAATCATAAAGTTGTGAGGGATGTTGGAATGCTCACCAGATGCCTGGTGGCAAGGTGAGAACATGTGAATTTTACCTGCTACTGTTAATGCATTAACCTTGGCTCATCTGTATTTATGATAGTGAGATAGTTTTGGATCTCAAATCTTCCCTTAACCATATTCCATTATCCCTTCCAACCTCAGACTGTAAATCAGTCTTCTAGACTTTCCTCCTGAGATCCCCAATCAGTCTCTGTCTCTCATTCCGTAGGTCCCTTCACTGATGTTGTCACCACCAACCTAAAGCTTGGCAACCCAACAGACCGAAACGTGTGTTTCAAAGTGAAGACCACAGCACCACGTAGGTACTGCGTGAGGCCCAACAGTGGGATCATTGATGCAGGGGCTGCGATTAATGTATCTGGTAAGTCCTGAGATTGGAGGCTGGAAGGGTGGACTAAAGAGGCCCCCTGGAGTCAGTGGGATTTCTTAAAGGTTGTATTTGCAATGTAGCAAAATAAGATGTAGATTTCTTCCCCCAACCCTTCAAGCTCAGTGGGTCCCTCTCACCTGTTGTTTTTCCATAATTAATGCCTCTTTAGTTTAATGCTTACAGCCTTTGCGCCTCAATGCTTAGAGCAAAATTGCAGTGGTAACTTCAGACTTCAGAATGAGTTTGATTTTCACTCCCTTGAAATTTGCCCTTCGGCAATAAATAAAAAAGGGCCAAACAAACTTAATTTTACTTTGTGGGAGAAAGCTAAATGGAGTTATTTTCTTATTTAAGCTAAATGATTTCTGACATTAAGCTCATGTCATTTCCAATGACTGGTAACTGCACTTTACTGATTGTGAAAAGCTAAGGGAGACAGGGCTAAGGAAATTGGAATATATTCCAGGGTGTGAGTTTTGTTCGTGTCTGATGGGTTTTTCCCCTTCTGTCTGAGAGGGAATATTTTTTCCAAAGTCCAACTTTTGAAAAGATGCTGGTAAAGTGCCCAAATTGAGAATTAAATTTCAGAATTAAGGAGATGAAAGTGATAGGTTTGACTTTAATATATTTTAGAAATGGAATAAACTTTTAGCTCATTAGAACTTCTGATCCAAGGATGCCTTTGTGTTTGTGAGGATCTGTGTGGGCGTGTGTGTTTATCTTTTGAGTATCTAGGGAGACAGAGCCACAGCAGGCTCTGCATCATTAGAGGCCACTACTTGTTGGAAATGGGTACCTGGCTGGCTTTTTCCATGACAGATTTTGATTATGATGCATTTGGCTATTCACTTGACACCTGAAAGAAAATGATTCACTTCTTTGAAAAGATATGAGGTGTTTCATTATCTGATCATTTCTGCAAGCTCTTATTCCCTGCATCCATCGGTCTCTCTCATTATGGCGCGCCCACACCAGCTGTCCCCCTGTGCGCTTCTCTCTGAGGCTGCAAAGCCTGATCTGGACTCTTGACTCAGCTTATTATCTAGGAGAAGTCAGGAGAGTAGGAGCCCAGATTTACTGGGGGTGTCCAACACTCTGGGCCTGCACACACATTATCTCCTCCAACTTCTGTTCTCTGCCCTGTGAGGAGTGCACTGTCACCTCCATTGTACCAAGACGGACACTAGTGGCTGTAGACTCAGGAAACTAACAAGTGATAGCAGGGTGTAGATTATTCTGCCTAGCTCTAAAGCCCTAGCTCTTTGAACTGTAGCACCCTGGAGAATGGAAGTGGCCCAGAGTGTTGGTGTTTCTGTAGTCTTGGTTGGTTCCACAGGTTTAAAAACACATGAGTTTCCATTTTTCTGTTGAAATTAAGGGCAGCCTAATCTTCCATTCCCTTCTTTTATTGACTTTTTTTTCTCAATTTCTGTGCCCATATCAAATTTGAGCAAGATTGTCAGTAGATGAGAATTACCAATTTTCACAGTAACTGTGGGAGCAGCAACATGGTTTTCTGAATAAAATAGTCTCAACAGGCAGTTGTACAGTGTAGATGTTCTTTCTGATGTTATAAGTGTTTGTGTGTGTGTGTGTGTGTGTGTGTGTGTGTGTTTCAAAAAGATCCATCCCTCTCCATCATAGAAATGTCTTTTAAAGTAATAACTAATCCTGGGCATTTGTTTTGATTTATGATTACCTGCTTAAGGAAGACCAAGACATTGTGGGTGTGGCCTTCCTTTGGCAGATGAAAAGGGAAGGTGCAGATAGTGGGCATGGTCATCTAGAGCAGCGGTTGCCAACCGGTGGTCCACGGACCACTGGTGGTCCACGAGGTCTGAAAGGTTGGCGACCACTGACCTAGAGTCCCTGGGTGGTTAGTGCCAGAGCTGGTATTTGAAGCCAGGTGTCTTAGCTCCTGATCTAGTGGCTCTAAGCTGCCTCAACAGTTTTAGGGGAAGGTCCCACTTACACGTGAATGTCAAACATAAAGTGCCCTATTTCTCAGCATGTGATGTACTTGGGGAAAAGCAATTGAATAATAAACTGTGTGTCTGCAAGCTTTCCTTCTAGATGGGAAGGATTATGCTTTGCACATGGAAAAGGGCTCCTTGGGGTTTTTTTTGGTGTGTATTTATCTCAGTGCTTGAGGTGCCCGGGGGTGAGGTCAGATGTCGGTGCGTTTCCAGGACCACCCCACCTGTTGCCACAGAAGGCTGATACCTGTTTATTGCAATTTTATGTGCTGAGAGGCTACTGTATCATTAATCAGAAATTCATGTCTTGAGATAAAAGCACTGCACTTTTCTAAGGGTCCTGAATGCAGCTACACAGTGACATCTTAGCGAATATGTGGTGTTTTCGGGTTTCTTTGGGGAAGAAAACATCCTCAGGAGGGTGAATTGCAGCTTGTCCAAAGGCCAGCCTTCCCTTGTCCCAGGTGCACGTGTAGCCAAGCTTGGTCTCACCTGCTCTACTCAAAGATATATTTGAGGTCTGGAAACCTGAATAGCAAGCCCAGCTCTGCTGTGTAACTTGTAGCTTGATCTCTGGCCAATCAACCAACCTCTCTGGGTTGCGGTTTTCTCATTTGTAACATGGAGAGTAGTATCTGCCTCACAGAGTATTTACCATGCTGCCTTAACTGGGCATGGTACAAGGGAGGGATTCCACTAGCCTTGAAGTAAACTGGCTAGTTTGTTGTTGCAGGTGGATTGTACATACTTGAATTGCTTCTTAAGAAATAAACTAATTCCATTTTATTAATTTTTGGACTTTTTCTGATTTCAATAAGAAATTTGTATTTTTCTTCTTTCTATATTCTGCATTTGTTTTATAGTGAAAAGCTTCTACTAAATTTTCAGATATAATCTATAGAAAGGTGGTCATCGAATCAATTTAAAATACTGCCAGGACTGCCCTGCCTACCACGCAGAACGTCACAGCATACCTGAAGAGGACGTGGTCTACAGGACTTGTCTCCCTGGTCTGAAAAACTGTGGGATTGTAGCTGTTAGGGAAGATTGTAAATCGCTCCTGGAGAGGGGAGTGGGCAGGGAGAGAGAGCAAAGAGCAGGAGGAGGCTACCTACCATGGAGCTGGCTAGAGGGACTGCGGTTTTGAAGGCCCACGAACCAGGTTGTGATGTGGGAGCGAGAATTTCTAGCTGTCAGATGTTTTTCAGACACACTCTGTGAGGCTCTTCTCAGCTTTTAGAAAACCAGTATTCAAGGGACCTTACTTTTTTAGTCAGAAGTCCAGATTCTGACCTTTCATGTTATTATCTTCATAAGATGGCAAATCACTTATTAGGTCCTTTAAAAAATCTACCAACTTTGTTTTATAAACTTAAGTGGTAAAGTTATGGGTGGAGATAGGCATAATCTAAACTTTTTGTGCCAGTAGGTAAAAATGTGGGGGCATCCCAAGGGGTTTTGGAGCTGTCCACAAGGGCCTCTAATTTGAATCCTTTTATTTATACTTTATGGAGGTGCTCATCTCATCTCATTCTTACAGCGGCCCCTGCAGGGGCCCATGCCTGTTGGATGAAGCATTGTAAGGGGGGGCGGGGGGTGGCAGGTGTTTGCTGTTTCCATTAATTGACCAGAAAGCCATGATTTTGGCCCCTTGCTCTCTGATACACACCATCTACTAGAGATGGCTTTGAATTATTCAACTCTGGACCTCAGCAAGATAGGCACACTTAAATGGAGATCGGAGAAGAGGAGATTGGACCCCCCCCCCCCTCCCCACCCCGCTCCTGAGATTTTAAATGCAAGGAAAATAGAACTTTTTGAATTAATGAAGTGTTTGAAGCAGTGGGGGGTCTCCCCATTTGTTCTAGCTTTACAAAATTAAATCTATTTTCTGAACTGTCTAGTGGGAAAATATTTTTAAGGTAGATAATTTCTGAAAATGTCTTTGTGGTAAGCTGTTAGTGGTTGTGGATTTTTTTTTTAAATGCTGCAGTTTAATAATGAGGGAGTTTTCCATTAATATTCCAAACCATGTTTGCCAGCGGATACAGCAGGTGAAGTGGTAAAATTATGGGCCCATCAAAAATACTTACGCTTCCTGTAATATGATATTAAGTTTAATATTTTTATAACCTTCACTGAATTCTAATTTCACTAAAGTAGCAAGCACACTTCCATTTGCAGTTCAATTATGCACATTGGTTGCCTGTGTACCAAGCAAATTAGAAATGCAAAATCTCTCTGTGTTAGGAGGGGCACTGGGAAGAGTCATTAAAGATACCAGTATTTAGGTACAGATACACTTTACTAAGTGTACCCTGGGACCTGGAAATGGATGAGAGACAAACACACACAAATCTCCTAGTGTCTGAATATGTCATTTAAATTATAATTCAAAGAATCCGGGAGCAGTATTCATTACTGACAGATAGCCCTTTTCAGCACTTATATCAATCACATTTAAAGCATAAAGTTCTTCCAGTAAAATCCTGAGGAAGGACAGTGAATATCAGCAACTCTTCTTGGATGGAAACATTGGTCAATTAACGTAATTGGGTAGCATCGCAATTGGTAATTAATCCTTTTAAGAGTTTGCTGACTCAGTGTGATGAAGCTGTTGGCTTGCCCTGGACCAGCCAACCTTGGCTGCAGCTTGTAGGTGACCAGCACCAGAGTGCAGTTGCACTGCCCCAGAGGAAGAAGTCAGGCGTTGTCTGTCTCCTGCTGATACATGGGAGCTACATTTGTGAGGTTTGGACATCTTCACAGCCATGTTCTTGTTCGTTTGCTCATTTGTTTTGGGAATTGAAGTCTCTGATAAGAGAAACATTTTATAAATCGTTTTCATGAACCAGGTTTATTACTCTTAGATAAGAACAACTCACATTCATATGTAAAAGGTATCTTTAATCTTTTTCACCCATATGAGATTCTAGATTTATAAAAAAAAGGAAATTACCAACAAAAATTCAGCCTAATTGTACTTTTAAATATATTTTTTTAAGTTTACTGTAA